GTTTTAACCTTAAAACGACGAATAAAAATGCAGTCTACAAACGGATAATTGGATAACAAGAGATATAAATTTCCATTTTAACTCAATAATTTGTTATTTGATAGTTTAAACAATTACCGTACGCATAAAATGTTAAGAACCTTATTTACATGTGTGTAAATATTTATGAGAAATGTATGCTTAAAATTCGATTGAAATGTGAAATACAAATTATTTAGAGACACAATTGGTATGTAGTAATGATACTATAACACATATTTTATTGAGTACAACATTATCTCAAAAATGTACAAAGTAAATAGTTTAACAGAACACATTTATTTTTAAATAACAATTTTTATATTATTTTTATTAACAGTTTAGTATTCAAATGACTTGTAAATATGTTAATAATTTTAATGGACATGTTTCTTCTAGGAAATTTCTGCAAATGTTTACAAAAACACTTATGAACTTGGTTTTAATATTGTTTATAATAAGTACGTTGGTAGTCAAGTAACTACATTGAATTTCAAAGAGCAAACTCAGTGATGTACAATTTATCTCTTTTTTGTTACAACTATTCGTTATTTTATTTCTTTTACATATTCAATGTTTTTGCTTTTTACTGTATTAAGGTAGAAAACAATCCTTTGAATAACAATGAAAACATATAATTCATTTTATTTAGTTACTAGTTTGTTGGTAGAGTTAGTTACTCTAAATTCAATTTAAAATTTATTATAGCTATGTTTTAAAGCAGTAAATTTATTAAACTTGTTAATATATTTAAAATTATAATATTTAATTCTTAAAATGAAAGATTTTTGTTTTATTAAATAATTTTCAAGTATAGTTTTACATATAGTAAAATCGATTTTTCATAAGGTTCTAATAATAATACTCATCAAATATACAAAAATCTATATACGATACAAAGACCGGATTTTGAAGATTCATCTTGCTTTGATATCACCTCATCACAGTATAATGATACGTTATTATTGTTCACCTTTGAAAGCAATGATAAACTGAAGCTCAGGTAAAACTGTATTTACTAATAGTATTTCTTCAACATAACATTTTTTCATACTAACAATATTTTTTACGTCGATATTAAAAAATATATTTATATTTTTTCAATAAATGTTTAAGTTCTTTTTTTAACTTATCTTAAACTTACTTACTTGAATATTTTAAAATCTTTGTGGATATTAATTTATTAAACTTATTTTAGTTTTTAAAATAAAATAAATAATGTGTTCTGATATAAATTTATCATAGGATACACTGCAATCGTTACAATAACTAATTGAGAGAAAAAAAATTAATGTATGTTTTTTTTTTTTAAATTATTTCACCGTAAATTAAATTATAATCGGTGGAATTTTTCGTTAGAACTGGAAAAATATAATTATGAATTTATCTATTGTGAACTCTTAACATTTCCAACGTGGGATCATCTGTGTAGAATTTTCAATCGATAAGACAACCCATAAGAAACAAATTGAGCACTACTAGCCAAAATAATGTTCATCGACTCGATAAATAGATAAATAAAAAAATAACTCTAAACCTAATGGGTACTATTCGTGTTCACGCCAGAAATCATAAATCCTTCGTTTCGAATTCTCTTTTATTGTTAGAAATCGGAAAAATTTAAGATTTCGTACACCATATTCTATAGATAGAGTACTTCGATATTTGATTTTTCACCATTTTCATACAACAAATATAATAAGAAACTATATTTTGAACTGTAAAATACATAATACAGCAATAGAATACTAAACATAATATATCAAGAAGCTAATGTACCGCATACCTCGGGATACTTTTGTTGATTTTTCGACTCTTGCGATTTGGTTGTTCGTCATGTAGAACTTGTATCTAATGGCCGATTAAAAATATAATATAATGTTTATATAATGAAATTAAACTCGTCTACAATAACGAACGTGATCCACCGTACCGGACCAAACGAAAATATATTATTTATAACCGTAATAATTGTTTCGATGGGTAACCTGCTCATAAACACCGTGAAACATATTATTGATGTAATACATAATGTGAATCGGAACGACAATCCGAACATGGTTGTCGATATGTCAACGGGGCGACATCTACGACGCATGATTTTGATAAACGTATTACAGGTAGGTATGCATTATTTGAGATTTAATGAAATTCGTTTGCATATTTTGAATACATGATGGTGCTAGTGTTTAACGCTAATACACTGTTCAAAAAATAATTATAATATCCCTCCCTTTTTTAAATCAAATTTATTTTAATTAATATTTCAGTTGTAGAATAATAATAATTATATGTAAGTTATTATATTCGATGAAAAAAAGTCGAAAAATGTACGTACTCGTATTATACCATACACTACGCGTGGCGTATCGCGTGTATGGTATAGCAATTGATATTATTTACAATTTCATACATTATACCACTGTTTAACGCAGTGCAGATTATTTTCAAAGAACTACTTATATAAATATTCGATATTAAATTTTTTTATATTGTTGACAATGATATTTTATTTATTATTCTGTCACGCTAAAACTGTACACAGAAAATAATATTTTTGGTTCGAAATTCTTTCGGTATGAAAAAACTGAAGACTTTCTGACAACATACCCTTTTTATATTATATAGTATACATATAAATATATATATATTGGTATTATTTAATTTTTTATGACGTACACTTTATAATGAAATATTTTCGTAATGCCACATCACATAAAAAGTATAGTAGGTAACTTTCATAGTTAGTAGTTACACTGTAAGTACACAAATCGTACGATGATCATTAAAAAGCTTATATTTCAATACATTATATTATTTTTTTGGAGCTAGCTATACGATGGTCATTTCATAACATATACATTTTTTTTATATTTTAGAATTAGAATAAAAATAAGAAGTTTTGATTTTGCATTTTTTGACAATTTTCATTTTAGAGTTATTTTTAAAAAATTTTAGAGCATTTTTGGTTTTTTGATCATATAATACTGAAATCCAAATCTATTTTAAAATTATATATTAAGATTTTTATAAGTTAATTAAAAGCTTTGTAACATGCTAACAAGGTTTTTACCTGATCTAATATAATTATTTTTAACTGTAATTTTAAAAACAGATCTATATAACGTAAAAATCATCAAAATACTGTTGGCGATAGCAATTAAATGAAAATTGAGATACATATATTTTTTTAAACAAAAAATACACAAAAAATTTGAAATTGTGAAAAATTTCTCAGAATTGTTTTTAAATTTAATAAAAAATATATTTTTGTTTAAGTTAAAAATAAAAATATAAAGAGAATTTTAAAGGTATAATTTTTTTTAAATTTTTAGTGGTTATTTGAGTTATACAATGTCTGTTGAGGTTGTTATACAATACAGTTATTAATAACGACACCGGTACTTAGTGTATACGATAAAAAAGCTAAAATAAAAGTTCGTTTTTCATAAGAATTCGCATATGCCGCCTAATAGTTCCAGAAAGAGGAAACTTTATTGACAAATGTCTGAATTCAAATAATGGAGGTCTCCTGTGAAAATTAAAAAAGTTAAGCTCATAACTACTTATTAAAATACAATTTATATAATTTAACAAAAAAGCTTAGTATTTAAATAGTGTTCATTGTGCCTACCTTGTACTTTGTATTTAATATTATATTGTAATTCAATGTAATTTTAAATAAATCAATATTTTATTACCTGCGGGCTTGATATTTGTGGAAAGTTTTAATTAATCGCCTAAAACTATCGTATCGTTAATGTTGTATACATTATAATTATAAAATAATCGTTCGCAGCGCGTAATTTTTGTTAATTTATAATATTTATAACGATAACATTATAATATGGCTGAACCGCAAAACGATTAAGCATCTTTACAGGGTCATACTATTTAGAATTTTATTTTTATTTCTAGCTTTTGCGCAACGTCCTGCGTTATCGGTCATAATCGAAACACCCGTTCACCCGTTGTCCCGTGGTAATCAGTAAACTTTTTGATGTTTCCTAACTTTTTTTTCTTTTCCGCTTCGTACTGATATTTTTACAATTACAAACGCGTCGAAGTCGTTAACCACAGTTAACGTAAAACAACACCCTTTGGCGATCGCACTGTCGCAATACAATATAATATAGTTGTATGTGTGTGCGTAAAGAGCCGAGAGCGAATTTATAAACTATGCGTACTTATATTAAATATATGCTGCACGTTTTGCACGCCACACGCGTTAACTTACATGTTTTTGTTATCATATTAGTTATTAATATTATTATTTCAACGGCCTTCCGTTGACGTAACAGCAGAGTTTCTTGTAGATGTCAGCGTATTTACGACAAAATATGAGAGAAAAATTAACCTTCTTGCGCTCTTTTTTTTCAATTTCAGAGGTTTTGTACTACCTGCTATATGCTTCGAAATTCTAATTTGTTGAGGACATTAAAACTCAGCGGATATATTTTAAACAATATATACAATTATTTTTGTCGATGATTAACGTATTTATAAAAATAGATAAATTAGCTATAAAAAATACATAATAATATATAACATTTTATGAACTCGTAATAATAACTTATAACTAATATTCATACAAATAACTCATATTTGGAGCGAAGTTTTTAAATAAACTGTTGTTTATTTAAATATTTAAATAACTGTTTTGTTATACTTTCTCCCTTTGAACAATTTAAAATAGATTTTTCTGTGCATATTATATAGTGTATGTGTATACAATCTTATACCTCCTTCTTTATTGCTGCTCGAAAAAAAAAAAAAAATAAAACTTTTTACTATAGATTTATATTATTATGCCACGTTATTATATTCGTGTCTTGCGATATATATATTTTTATTTCTCTCTCGAAAAAAAAATTGTTTTATTATTATTAGTAGTATACACAAAAAACGACAGTGCGATGAAGGCGATAGGATTTTCGTTTATTTATTTTTTCATGTATGTCATGAGTATTTTTTTTATGCAGGCAACTCAGAAGTGCGGTACATGACGTGCTGTCCGGTCGATCGATTGGCCGCCGAGCCAAAGCCAATGTCGAGAAACCGGACCTCAGCCTTGCCGTCCGATTTGATATTATGAATTCGATTGCCAACAATCGACATGCACCAAGTAAGTCGGACACGTTTTTACCCAAGTAATCCGTTCGCCGGACGTTTGCCAATACGATATGCCTACCTACCATCTCCCTAATTGATTTTTTCGTAACCTAACCTATATAACGTATTCGCACAATTTTGTATTGCAATATATATTTTTATATATTGCAGTGTTATGCGTAATATTAAATGCATTCGTAATAATTTTAGTATGGCTGAATATGACACAAAATCCGACTGAAAACTCAATAACTCCACTCCATCACTCTTCGTCAAATTTCTGCTGGTTTTTCTCCCCTTTAAATAATATATTCCAAGAAATCTATAGCTGAAGTGGCTGTATTAACTTGACTTATAATACGTTGTCAATCATTCATCAATTTCAGTGTATATATTCTATCTATATAATATGTACTTATGCAGCTTTAATTACAACAACACTTGTACAGATTTTCATCATGATGCACATAGATACTGGATTACATTTTTTTTTACAGACAAATGAATTTAAATTTAATTCCACTGCAATGCAGCTAAACGTTTCCTTCGTAAAAATGTACTTATTTTATACCATTATAAACTATTCGATTCAAACAGAAGAAATTTTTAATGAGGTTAGAAATATTGGTACAATTTTATCATCTGGCATATACTTTAAGTACCAATAGTACCAAAATATAATATAGAATAATATAGAAACTATTGTTGGAAAAGCTTTTAGATGCTTAAAACGTAATTGCACTGTATGAGCCAATGTGTCTTAGAATTCTTTACTTTTGCTTTAGTACATTCTAAATTATAGTTGATTCTTTGGCTTGGAATTATTAAAAATCAGGCTTGATTGACAGAATTTTAAAATTAACTTATAAAGATAGAGACCTTTAAATTAAATATATAAAAACTAGCCATTGCTGATATTGATTTAATACATAAATTATCTCTTTAAAGTAATTTGAAAAATGTTCTATTCAAATTTTTATTTTATACTTAAATTATTGAACTAATCCATAAAAGGTCATATTTAAATTATATACGCTTTAGGGCTCTGTCGGTCAATCCTAGGCATTTACAATTATTTTATATCACGCCCAAAAAACATAATTTAGTTTTTCTTAGTTTCGTTAGTTAAATTGTACAATAAAATAATGTATCTGTAATTTCTCTTATTTTTTTTTCTACAATTATAGTTTCAAGTTAAAAAGATTATAAAAAAAAAAATATATTTAAAAAAAAATGTATACTCTGTGTCATTTATTTCATTATATTTGACTATACTCTGTCTTAGTAGGTGTTTTTTTTTTTTTTTATCAAATGAATAATTTACTAGATATCTGTAGTAAATACGCGCAGTTTCATACGGTTTCAATCAATTTTATTTGAGAAAATGTTTTTGGGATAGTGTCTTAAATAATTAACAATTATATAATAATTGTTCACATACGCATAATACGTGTAGCCAAGTACTTAACTTATCTCAATAAACTACTACTGCTCATAATAATTATTATTAATCGTACTAATGGCTGTTTAATGAGAATGTTTTGGTTACACCTCTCATAACATATGTATAACAATTATAGCGATTGAGTTATGTTATATAAGTACACAGCCTACAGGTACGTAGTACACAGTGACGCTACGTTATTGTTTGCCGTAATGTTATGACAAATCAGTTTTATGTGCCTTCTTTAATGATAATAGTTGTTCCTAGTTAAATATACATTGTTGTGATGATAATTTTATTATTATTGCGTTCTACAGGTTTTAATATTATGCGAAGTGTCTCAAAAGCAGAATCATCAGATGCGCATACCCTGTTAACACCGTTTTAAACAACCCAAGCACCCCTATTTAAATTATGTCTGATAGAGCTCATGTCGAGGTATAATAATGATTACTTATACTTTGTTCGGGTTTTATATTATATTCACTAGACTTGATTATAGTAACCCACATTATTATATCTTAGATTGTAGCTGCATATTAAACCCTAATAAATATGTATCCACTTCCCAAGATTTAGTATTTATAGTACAATATAGTAAAATGTGCATAATATTCTTTGAGTATTTGAAATCAGAATCCATGATATTAAGATTGACACATTTATTTGGATATAACATATTACATGAAATATAATTTTGTCGAGTCCAAAATGACTTTTATGAAAAATAATGAGTACGTGGGTAAAGTTATGATGAAATATTAGGGTTTTTCAGCGTTAAAATTAACACCATAAAGGTTAAATACGGTATGAAAATATTAAAATATAAATAATAATTTATAAATAACAATGTAATAAATTGTGTTATTAAAACAGTATGTTAAACATTGAGTAACAATGCGTATATAATTATTTTACGTGTAAAACGAATACTAAAACATTAAGTTTGGCAGAAGTATTATAAACACTAATAATTTAATAATTCGTGTCTATTATTAAACATTAAAACTAATTGACAGACGTAGAATTTTGATATCCTTTTAAATTACATTATTACCGCGATGAGTATTATTATAGTATAGATAATGTCTATTATATATTAGTATTACATGCATGATTTATTACGTTTAAGGCTGATTATTTTTAAAAATGGCCAGTTATATAGCAACTATCCCAACCTATCTTTTCGTATAAAAAGTTTGAAAATATATTAATCATATGCTGTCATACTAGAAAGTTGCAGTGTCACTTATAATTCATAATAACTGTGGTTATGGCAAATGTTATTCGTAGAAGCGATTTATATTATGGAAGATAGCAATCAATCAGACACAGAATTTTCAAATTTAAAACTTTGATCTATCAAATAATATTAACACAAATCTTTTTCGTTTTCTTACTTCAGCTGGGTTTGAACATTTAAATTTTTTTTTGCTGGTAAATTAATTTTTAAGATAAAAACACAATTTTAAATTTTAAATAAAAAGTTACTTTTGTGGTTGTAAAAGTAAATAATGTGTGTGACAAAAGTAGTACAGATTCTTACTATATATATATATATATATTCGATTATGTGTATTTAAAACACGTTCATTTATTTTTTTAAATAAATATACATTAGGAATAAACAATATAATTAAAGTCGATAATATTTATTATTATAATTATTATTTCCATTTAATTTGAATAATATCTCTTTAGAAATTAGTTTTTTTTTTTTAAGTGTATTTTTGTAATAAAAACTATTACTAAAAATTAGCTTCAGCAAAAATAATTATTGTAATTTTATCGTGCACATTTCGTATTTTAATAACATGGTCTATACTCTATATTATCTAACAATATGCTCTGGATATTTGTATACGCTAAACTATATAATTTGGAAAACAAGATTGGCATTTCTTACTTTAATGTCTTTGTTTCATGAATAATTTTGACCATTTGTTTAAGCGCATATTATTATATCATATTTTTAGTACGTAATGAAATGCTTTAATTTATTCATAATGCTTGTATATTATATTAAATATATTCATAAAATATAATTACCATCTGTGAATATAATAATAATAATTAACAAATTTTTGATCTTTATCTACCAAAAAATAAAAATAAACAAAATAACTCGTTCAGATTTAATACGATCTGTTAGCTGTTTATAAAAAAATATATCATATAACAAAGTATACACATGACTACATTAAAACAAAATACATACTTATATACATGTATATATATCAACTAAAAGTTATTTTATGAACTTATAAAATTATAATAATTTGATAAATGCAATAAAAAGTTTGAATTAATGATAATATTTACCACAAAAATAATGTAAGCCCTTGCTCTTAATTAAGTTTAAAATAGCGACAGCATTATCTATCCTGCAATTTATTTGATGATTTCAACTTCTAAACCAATATTTCTAAAAAAAGATGCAAATAATTGAATTCAAGACACAATTGTATTGATAAAAAAAAAAATCCGAACTTAAATTAGTGTAAAAAAGTTACTTTCGCACGATTAGGTCCGAAGATGATTAATCGTTTTTACGTTTTTATTTTTTCCCTTTCAAATCGGCAGACGCCATCGATGTGTGAAAACAAATGACTAAGTTATACACATCAATTTACTGTGATCTGACGAGCGTCACCAGTTGGTTTTTATAACCAAAAATATAAAATCTGATATTGACATATAACAATAATGATACTGACGCGTTCATTAGATTGTTTACGTTATTATTTGATAAAAATAATACCAATGTTTGATTCTAGTGCGGATTCTTGTAAAATATTAATTTTTTTGTAATAAAAAAAAAATAAATAATAATAATATTGAGATAGATATTAATTAAACCAATTACAATAAACAAAACATAATTTGTTTGTTTGAAACTAATCTAAAACACATAAAACACTCCAAAATATAATAAAATTTGATATTTTTAATTTAATTACGATCAACAAATGCACCAACCATACACTAAATAGACCTTGATAATACTGCAATGGTCCAATTTTTATAAATAGATTTTCTAAAATGAATTTAAACTATTAACCCATATGATTTTTTTTTAAATATAATTTCATTAATGATTTTATATAAGTATACGCTTCTTATTTTATATGCATTATATTTTAAATGCATATTAGCTGTATTCAAAATAATAAAAACTTAATTAAAAAAAATTACAAATCGTACATAAGAAAATATAATATTCGTTGTATGATATGAAAATTTGAAAATTGATCAAGTCTGAATAAAAATCAATATTTTGATTAAGTTTAATTATTATCATTGTATTTTATAATATAATTAAATTAATTCACAAGTTACAACTAATGTTTACTTAATATAATTAACTCATGTTTTTTTTTATAAATCTATAATGGTTGAAATAATATATTATTTAATTTCGAAATTATATTTCTACTTACTATAAAATATATTATATGTAATGTGTAGGTGAATGATACATTTTATAATCAGAGTAAACCGAGGAAGCTAGATTAGTATGATTGTATGTGTATGTTTTTAATACGTAAACACACCTTTGTGTGAAAGAA